CAAAAAGAATGGTCATTTATTTTATAAATAAATGTAACTTCCAAGAAGTGAACAAAAATAATGACAAGTTAATAAAATCAATAAAAATCTTTATAAGAATAATATTTTCTAAAATCCAAATCAAAAAGATGAGATAAGTCTTTTTGAGAATGAAACGACAATCTTAATTTTGCTAATTTATAACCAACTAACTATTTCTATTAGAATCACTTAGTTTAAGTAGTTTAGTTTGTAAAGAGTTCCTCCAAAAAAAGATGAAATTATCAAAAACGATTAGCATTTATTTAGTTGCTTTTGTAGTATTATTGATTGTTACATTAATTATTGTTTCTTTGTCTGTACTTTTTCAGTCACGATGGCTTATGTATTTTCTTGAAGTTAGAAACCCAGCTGCATTATTTTATTTTGATCGAAATTGTAAAACAAAAGCAGTAGCTTTAACTTTTGATGATTCTCCGTCAGGAGGCATAAAATATCTTCTTAGAATTCTTAAAAGAAATAACGCAACTGCAACTTTCTTTATGTTAGGAAATAAACTTCAAATGTTAAATGGGTCATATCGTTTTTATCCAAAACTTCGAGAAGATATTTTAAATAATGGTAACGATGTTGGGAATCATATGTTTAACAGATTTGCAGCATATAAAATGACTATGGAAGATTTTGAAGAACAAGTAAAAAAAGTTTGATCAATAATCAATTTATATTCAAATTTAGATATTAACAATTATTAGACTGATGCTTTATTACAATTGGGTTATCTTCAAAATAATAAATATAATTGGTTTAGACCTGCATCATTCTTTCCTTTAGGATATATGTACGAAATACTTGATAAATATAATTATACTATGACTCTTGGTACTGTTCATTCTTTTGATTTTCAAATTAGAAACACTCAATACAATCTTTTTAGCTTATTAGGTAGAATCAAATCAGGTGATATAATTATTTGTCATGACACACTTGAGACTACTGAGTATGTTGAAAAAATGATTATATATCTTAAGCATCAAGGTTATAAGGTCCTTTCTCTAAGTGAGATGTCAAGAGAATGTCCGAGTTCACTCTTAAAAAAAAATAATGTTTTTTAAAACAAATTATTATATTTTATTTTCATTCAAAAAGACTTAAAGAAATAATGAATAGAAAAAAAATAATATATTAAATAGTATATATATTAAAAGAAAGGAAAAGAACATTCTAAAGAGAGAAAGGAAGAAAAAAAGCTGTTTAAGGATTAGTAATTTTAAAAGAAATATGAAAAGAAAAAAGGAACTTAGATATGAACTTAAATAGAATAAATCTCTATGGCAGCTAAAGCACACTACGATCATCTCTTTAAAATCTTAATTATTGGTGAATCAGGAGTTGGTAAAACTGCTATTATGCAAAGACTTTGTGAAGATACATATGATAATGTATATATTTCTACTGTTGGTGTCGATTTTAAACCTAAAATATTAAATATTAGAAATAAAACTGTTAAAATGCAAATTTGGGACACTGCTGGACAAGAAAGATTTAGAAACATTACAGCAAGTTATTATCGTAATGCACAAGGTGTTATTATTGTATATGACGTCAATGATATTGGAACATTAGAAAAAGTTGATAGCTGGTTCAATGAAGTTAAGGAACGAACTGGTGCTAATCCTCCAGTTGTTTTCCTTGTTGGAAATAAATCAGATTCTCCAAACCCAACTGTAAGTAAAGAAATGGTTAAAAACGTTGTAAACAAATTAGGTGGTATTCCTGAATATAATTGTTCTGCTAAAGAAGGGACTGGAGTAAATGAAATATTTAATGCTTTAGCTGAAGCTATGATGGATAAATCAAATCAAGGAAGTAATGGATCATCAAAACCAAATGAACTTACAAATCTGACTGATAAACCAAAGGACAATGGAAAAGGATGTTGCTAAATTGAAATCAACTT